TACACTAATAGTGGGGGGAAAGGTGGATTGTTTGGTGGCTAGATTATATCATTTAGGGAAGAGCCTTAAATGGGTGCCCAGTTTTTATGTAGTGACCAAGGAAAAGACTGATGAGCTTGATCTCTTGAATGGTATAGCAATCTTACCCAGCTGGAGAGAAACATGGAATCACTGCTTTTTCTTCACTCACATGGGTAATAGGCAAATACGTAAGTCTGTGCTCTCCCAAAAGGTGTGACTACAGTTATGACATACAGACATATGAGTCATGAAGGGGCCAGACATCTTCATTTGCTCTCTTACAATCATTTGTCCACATATGCTAGCACTACTGCTAACATTACAATCACCTACAAGAGAACGTCTATAGAACATCACGAAAACATTTTTCGTCTACAATTTTTTTTAGTTATTTTTTGCAAATCTTAGTATTTGGGTCAAATCTGCCATGACGACAATCCTTAAAATTTCTTCAGTCTTTTTCATGTCCTTACATTACCTTGGGGGTCTTTCTCCAAATTTTTCTCCTTTCAATCATGTATAGCTTCAAGTATCTTACTAAATGAAACACTGCCAGAAAAATTCCCGGGACATGGGAATCTGCTGATTCATAGTATTAAGCTTGTGCAATAGTTGTCAATACACTTTTGGATATGCCAAATAACACCACTCTACCTCCACTCCCAATAATTCCTGGATATGGTAGGGAAGTTAGCATAGGCAAGAAACAACTCCTGAGACGCAGTGTCTATGCACTGTTTTGGAGTGTACAGCATGCACAGAAGTTGTTGCAGGCAAGCTGACCTCAGTGCCAGTTACCTGTTCAGTAACTAGCCTTTGGAGCTACAGATCACAATTAAGCCTATTAAAGACAATTTTCCCAAATGCCCTGTGCAGCACAGGTCCATCTTGTGCTTTTCCTGCCCAAGAATGTGCAAATGATTTTTTTTAACCTTTCAACATACTTTCTTCAGTAAATCTGCTTTTCCACTAATTTGAAGTTCAAAATTTTAAGTTTTCTGTATTCCTTAGCCCATCAACAGTAGATGCAAACATGCCTATTCTCCTTCAGTTCATTAAATAAGCATAATATATAGCCATATATATCCATATTTCATTCTGACACATCAGAATGAAAAACATGCATTGCCACTAAGGATTTACTATTATTTATATTTCATATTGGTTATCTTCCTAAAAGAAGTAAGTTTCAAATGAAACAAAAAAATCATAGGAATACAAATTCACTAACTATCAATAGTAGCAGGATAAAGGTCAGACATGATGCCTCAAAAATGAAAGTGAAATCCTTTTAGTACCTTAAGGTACTGCTATCACTGTTAGCCTCTAAAAATAGGGTCCTTTTATCAAACTGTAAATCAAACTTTGCCCTCTTTGAGCTACTGATCACGCACAACCTTTATGCAATTAAAGGTCCATTAACACCCAAGTGGAGATGTTTAAATGGATCTTAGTGATTTAATACACTTTTCACTAAATTGGAAAAGAATATGTACTTAAATTGCCTAGATTGCTCTGGAAATTTCGACGTGGTTACTTAAAAAGGTTGCTTTAATAAATATGTATAAAGAACTACATATAAATGCTTAATAAAAGTGCTCTTTAAGAAGATTACTTACTGGATTTTCTTCAGTAAGCTCATAGCCATACTATTTGAGTACTCGATATTCATTACTAAATTTATCCTTACAATCACTTTTGTGAGACAAGCTCTTCCCACACTTCATACACAAGAAATTGAACCAGAAATCATAAATGATTTGCACAAAGCCCAACAGTTACATCAGAACCCAAGGCACCTGATTCTAGAGTTTAAGTGCTCTTCACAAATACCAATCTTAACTGCAAGCCAGCCTTTCCCTTTGAAGCAATACACACCGTATTTACAGAGCCATTATAATACCCACTTCATCAAAAAGATAAAGAGCACCAACAAATATTTTCTTTGTTTAAAATAGTAAGGCGAAATATCTGTACATTAAATTTCTTCCTTACATATTAAGAATGGAAGCATCTTTGACGAAGTAATTGATAAAATTATTTCAAACTGTTCTAAACACCTTCCAGGCCATCCTAAATGACTAATAGTTGAAACAGACTTCAGCAAAATATGTCTCCTCTCCCTCTACACAGCCTGTCATAAACTCAGAGTTGCCCACTCATTCAGAACACAGCTAAATGAGCTCTTAGGCTACAAATCCTCAAGATGCAGTGAGCCGACTGTATTACTCACACTCACTGCCAGAAACAAAGAGAGTTCCTGCTTCTGACTGCATGCCTCTGGTGCTTACCTTCTGCTGGCTCTGGTATTTCTTCGATCCTTCTGTGAGCTGATTTAACTCTCTAAAACGTAACAGAAATCCAGCACAAAAATGGACAAATTTCTCTTGTTAAGTCAACGAATGGCAAAGCCTGAGAAGTACCAGAACTTGTAGGCAGAAGGCAGCAGGATTGCCCAGTCCAAGCTGAGGGAGCAAGTCTTCCTCCTTTTGGCAATGAGGAAATCAGCTTGTCTATAGTCCAAGCAGATTCTGTACACCTTTAATTTCTGAAGTATCAGCTGCTTCAACTTACTGTCTGCCTTGTATTCTCTCAAGTAGCCTCACTAAAAGGCAGCTATGTTTTTTTTGAAAAACAGAGATGTCAGACCTAACACAGAAGAAAGACTACTAAAAATCTGTAAATAAGGCTAAGGAATTAAAACCGAACTATAGCAAACATTTACTTTCTGCAGAAAGACAACCTTGTATTATACTAGTAACTGCATAAGAAAGTTATCAAATAAGCTTTGCCTAGTGGCGTTTATGATGGCCCAAGACCACATTACAACTTTAAGTGACCAAGTGACGTTAAATAACCGAGGCACTCTGGCTAGAACCTCTTTTCTCACTTGATACACAGAGACTCCAGCTCTAAATTTAAAAAAAAAAAAAAAAAAAGTTGGTACCATTGTGCCTAGCATTAGTTCAGCAGCAGACCAATACACTTCTACAAATCACTTTATCACAGAGGTGTCTGAAAAGGAGAGGAATAACATACATGATTGAGGAAATAACATTAGGTAAGAAGATTTTTGGGCTTGGATTGTTCAGATAACACATTTCTGTGGGTGGGGCAGACTTTTCTGTTGAGGAAGGCAGGGGAGTAATACACTGCATCTAATCCTGATGTACAAAGAAATTGCCTGGACCTTAATATATCAGTTCTAAGAAAAAGAGAAGTGTGGAATATTCCATATGCTCCTTCCAAAGTTTTATTAGGATCCTTACAATTCCTGTCAATTTTTTTACTCTGACCTCAAGAGACTTTCATCTTTTCATGGCCTGAATTCTCCATTCTCCCTTTAAGACAGATCAAGACTGTGAACAGACACAATGAAAGAAGACAGAAATATTGCTGTTCTTACCTTTGTAACACAGAAAAATGCATCAGTATGATTAATTACCGAACAAATCATGATTAAAACAAGTTAATGCAATTTAATTGTCATTCCAATTACTGTTAAACAAAAGTAACTCGTGGCTAGTACTTTCCAGGACAGCATAGTTACACAGCTAGTTGCTCCATCTTCAAAGAACTGCTCCCTGTTTTTCCTATGAATTTTTCAGTAAGATGCTGCTGAAAGAGGAGTGTTTTGTGTGGGTTAGTGTTTTTTTTTCGTTTGTTTGGGTTTTTTTGGTTTTTTTTGTTTTTTTGGTTTTTTTTTAAACAAAGGGAACACGACAATTATTTCAGTAAATCCTTCCAGCTAGAATATCCAAATATCCTCTTGTCTCTACTGGATATATTTTTACTTAATACATAAAACAAAAAGATCATTCAAGCAAAACAAAAACAAGACCAAAAATGTGCAGCTTACTTTGCAAAGACTAAAATCTTTCATTATCCAAAAACGATTGGTTTATTTCTTCTCCAACATCTTAAAAGCTGACTTTTAAGCGAACGAGTACTTACTCTCTTGCAGCTTTTATGTTTCACAGCATACTTCTAAGTATATATTCTAAGACAATTTATAGCCCTCCTAAGTGTTTGGCAGAACAAATAAATGCATTAGAATTGATTTTGCTTCAGGTATAGTTTAGGTGAATGTTAAATACCATTTTTGGAATCAGATACACATTACCCATACTGCATGGATACTGTTAAGAAGTTAGCAACTGTAAAAATGGAAGAGAACAGCATTTACACTAAAAAACAAAAAAAAAAAAAAAAAAGAAAAAATCTACGGACAGTTGCTAAATGAGGTTTGGCAAGTATTGCTGTCATTTTAATTTGCAAATTTGTGCAAATCTAGTGGAAAACAATCATTTTTTCAACTTTTCTCTGAAGTACTGGGTAGCTTGAAAAGATATTGCAGTACAGACACACAGGCATGCTCAAAGAACAAAGTTTTGCCAGTTATTTAGCATACCTAGAGATAGCCGTATACTTTGGAACATAATTGAAAAGATGAGTGGGATTTACCTTCCGACTATACTTCTAGGTTTTTTCTTTCATTTTAAAAATTTTGTTCTGTATTTGGCCTGAAATCATACCACTGGTAAGATGAACGCACAGCACACAGAAAACAGTATGAACCAAAAGTGTTGCAGAAGTGATACATGTGATTTAGAAAGGAAAGATCCAAGATAAACGTTCACCATGTTATATAGACACCTTGGATTCATAATTAACTTGACAGAGCTTAAAAGACTTTCTGATGCAGGGCTTTTTTTGCCCCCAAAGAGTTTTTAGCAGAAAGTAGATCAGAATAAAACTGGGCTATAAAAAGTGGAAAGTCCTTGAACTAAAGAGTACAGGCAGCAAACAATGTAAAATAAAATGATTTTATATGTAACACATATGACAAGCTGATACAGCAAATTACTCACTCAGTAAATCCACGACTCAATTTTGAAAGGAGGATTTGTTCATTTCAGAACTCAACAGCAAGTATAAAACATTAAAGCCATCTTAAGACTGAACTCCACTTCTATTATCTTTGAATTTTTTACACATTGTCTTATGATTAAGACATTCGTTACTGTTTAGCACATCATATAATTTATAATAATTCTCTGCAGAACAATATAGTTAATTCAGTATCATCAATAACTTTATACAGATACAGTATTGAAGCCATGTCCTCTTTTGCTTACTGTCAAGTACAAAACAGCTTATACAGACTAAAAAAAGCTACACACCACAGTTGTAGCATACCGTATTTTGTGCCTGATTGAAGTTTACAGTAGTGGCTTTTTGATCTTCCAAGACAAATAAACATGATACCACATAACAAACGGTTGTGCAAACTCAGGCTTAGGAGGAAGACTTAACTACCTCCTTTTTCCAGAACTACTTTTCCCTGCTTTACTGCTGCTAGTACCAGACTTGCTGGAAGATTTTGAAGAGAAAAGTCTTGTCATGAATTCAGAGACATCCGGCAGCTCATGGTTGGAATTCAGCATGTTCATTGACTGCTCCATTTCCTGCATGCAAAGATTAAATAACCTTAATAGCTCGTAACAATTCTGGCTGTTTCTAAGGCATCAGTTGAAAGATCGTATCAGGAAGACGTCAAATTTTCCCAAATACTGTTTTACTATTTGTAGTCCTCCAGGGTACATATTGCTACATATTTTTATGCAACCGCAGCCAAATACCCAGCTACACACAGAAACATAAAACCCCAGAACTAAAAGCACTGGTGTATGGAAAAAGGTAACCATGTCTTAAGCAGTCTTACAGGGCAATCACTTGATTAGAAAAAAAAATTCTAAGAGAAAAAATGCCATTACTTATTTTCAGCATTACTTTCCTCCACTTTAAAATTTAAGCTTTTGTTTAGATTTTCAAATCTGTGTTCTCATAGATTTCACATACTTTTGTGTTTTCAAATTAGTATTATTTATACTAAATCTAACAAATTTTTGAAGCTGATTGAAGGGATTAGATATTTTTGTTGCCCCACTTCATAACATCACGCTATTAGTGTACAGCAGCTAAGTTTTCTTTGTTTCATGAAAAGAAAGATTTTAATGAGACCATATATCCAGCTAAGCTTAATGTTACTTTAGAGTTTAGGATAGTAGCTCTATGAGACGAATTAGTACGGTTTAAAACAAACAAACCAACCCTGAAGTACTTCGTTACTATTGCATCTATACTACATCTGTACTTAGTGCCTCTACAACAAGCAGTTACTAAATCATTAACTTTCTATATAAACTAGTACTGTGCTGATTCCATAAAGAAGAAACAAGCGAACTTGAAAAATGTAATACAAGCTCCATACCCTCCACAAGCAAACTGAAGCTGGATATACGCTTAAGAATTTAATACATGGTCATCTAGAGAATGCCATTGCAATTGAGTTCTTAAAAACTACCTTCTCCTATTCTTTAAGATAATTTAAATTACAAGCAAGATTCCTTCAACTTAAAATTTCTCCTTAACAAGTCATATCAGTCAGCTATAAGAATTAAATCTTCAGAAGTTCTGATCGTTCACCATCAGAACAGCCTGTTTATAAGCAGTGTCAGATCAGTGAAAAAAGTAAGGAATTTAAGTGATTTTTTAAAAATTCAACTTCCAAAGTTCAGCTTGGTTTGAAGAACATGCCACGAATATCTAGCATATCTTCGTATCCTGTTTTTAATCAATATTAAAGCCCAAAGAGCATTACATAGCTCCGATATGCTTTTTATAGGATTTACTTAAAAAAAAAAAAAAAACAAACCAAACAAAACCCTCAGACACCTATAAAGTACTACTGAAGACAGTGGTCATTTAGAGGGAAAGGAGTTTAAATTAACCAAACCCTTAAAAAGCAGCCACCCAGGACAGACAAGGAATACTTCTAAAAATAAGAAAAGATTTAGCAAACACCTTGAATCTCCATTTTGTCCTAGCCTTCTGCTATTCGGCATTTTGCATGATGAAAGGACAATAAATCAGATAATTTAATGACTACAATAAGACTTCATATCATATAAACTATTGTGACATCTGGATTTAAGTCTTGTAAACTATGTGGTTTAGGTTAATGGATAAGAGAACCCCACATCATACTCTTCTCAACACACTTGATACTTATTAAATGATGTCTAAAAATGAAGTGCTAGATTTAAACATAGTGCAGAAATACATTGGAAATTTATAGAAAAAACGGCCTTCAAGAAATTATATTTATCGCTCTAAAGAAACTCTGGAAAACACCATTCATACTGTAGTACTTCCAAGGCTGTGCCAAACAATTTAATTGTGTTGTGCTGTCTAACAGCAAATTCATGAGTCAGAAATGTTAGAATTCATTGTTAGAACAGCAACACTGTATTAACTGAATAAATGATGCCCATTAAGACTTCTTTAGAAGTCCAGTTTTGTTTTTATTACTTTTCAGTACCTTAAAATCTCATTATCTTTGTTCTCTCTGTCTGCATCAATTGAACGTACTTACCCGTCTCATATCAGGATCACTGGTGTTGACAACTTTAGGCAAAAGCACAAATATCAGTAATGGAAGAACCATCATCATCACCTACACAGAAAACAGCAAGTATTTCTTCAGCTTATTTATTGTTCCAGACATTTTTAGACATACTGACATAAAGCTTTTAGCTACACAGCCGAATTTTAGCTAAACAGCCGAATTTTAGAACTACTGCATTTTGAGTCAGTAACCCAGTAACAGTAATCCTCTTGTCAAGAAAGAAACTTGATAAGGAAGTATTATGCTTTAAATAACAGATTTCAAAGTTGGACCATTAAAGTAAATGCTTGTTATCTCTTTCAACTGTTATAATTACAATCTTGCAACATGTTGATCTCCACACTACCAGAACAACATCATGTTGTCAAAGAAACCAGACTATGGGCTATTTTCAGAGGATATACATTAACAGAGTGGGTATATAGGGGAGGAGAAGTCATAGAAAAACTTTGTTTTTCACTTGTTTACAAATAAAGAAATAAAACAATCCTCTCAGAAGAGCAAAGTGTACACATCTTTTCTCAATTATTTTATTCTCCGTATTCTGAAGAATGGCTATATTTGGACCCTTAGCATACTTTTAACCTCTGTGTGTTGCTTGTACATACCATAGGGTTCATGAGGAAATCTGTCCATCCCCAAGATTCTCTTTTTATAAAATATGAAGGAGGTCCAGAAGATTTCATCTGCAGTGGGTATGGCAGCCTGACAACTTCAGAGGTTTTGATGTAATTCACATATCTTGCTCTAATGAGCAAAATGTAAATAATAAAAAATATAAATACAATCTTTATCAAAAAATAAAGATTATTTAATAATATTCCAAACGAAGTTTTAATAATAGACTACAAACAAAACTATCTGCCTGGCAGTGTCAGTCAAGTTTCACTTTTCAGAAGCTAATTTCTCTCACAGTATACTTTATGGAATCAAATGATACTTTACCTTTTTTTCCAGGCTAGCTATTAAGCAGGCTAAAAAACTTGATATGGAAAACAGACCTGCACATCAGAAACATCAGAACTATTTGTTCAAATGTGATTTCTGCAAAACATTTTCTCTCGCTTTGGTAATTAGCAAGAAAAGCTACAATGTTTAAAGAGAAAGTACAGATTTGAACAGTGCAGTGTAGCTTAAACAGAGTTTGCTCGTGGCAACAATTATTTATATATGAAGTTAATACCACCTTTCCCCTTAGCGCATTACTTTGTATTTATCAATACTGAATCTCAACCTTTATTTTTCCATAGTTCTTCACTAGTATTCTTCACTTGGGCCTAGTATTTAGACAAGTTACTTGGTGCTATCATCTAACTTTGTCACTCTTCACCCATTTTTCATGATTTATGAATATTTATCGGCCTTGTCCAATTCCAGGGATGACTTCTGCCCATTAAAACAGAAATCATTTATTCCTTCTGAATTTTTCACCAAATGTTCATCCATAGAATGCCTTTCCCTCCTACCTTATGACTACATTATTTTCTTAAAAAAAAAAAAAAAATCTTTTGAGATTTTCAAGTAGATCTTATCAAACATATCCATTATCCACATGCTGCTTCCTCTTTCTAAGAATTCCAGTATTTTTTTATGTCAGAATTTCCCTTAGAAAAGCCCAGTTGACTTTTTCTCCGTGTATTGCATTTTTTCATGCATCTCCCAACTGTATTCCTCATTATAGTTTCTACCTGTTTGACTGGTAGAGACGTCAAGCCTACTGGTACTGACATATTCTAGCAATTTACTTGTCGTGGTTTAACCTGGCAGGCAG